TTGAAGATAAATTTTTAGGTATAAATTCACTGATATTTAGAGTACTAAGTCAATTTTAGATAGTAGAAAATGTAATGTCGGGAGGGAAAGAGAAAGCCTACACCCCACTGCAGCATGGCAGCATACAAATATTTCTATACAGAAATAACGGGAAGGTGAAGGGGTCAGGGGTCAAGAGGAATATGTCTGGACTATTTGGTGTTCACTATATAATCTCTCTATCTCTTCTCAAAGTTTCAGCCCTCGATAGACTTTCCAGTTCTCTCACACCAGCCGTCTCTTCCTTTCGCCATGCCTGGCATCTGCATAAATTCTGTTGCTCTGTTCCCGGGTAAAAGTAACTAATCTTATGTATCCTCATGCATACGTAAAGACTTTAGATCCATCAGTTTTGCCTTAAAGGACGGGTTTATTAAAATCCCAGGTCAGCCCTTCTTAATAGCTTTGGGGATAAGGTCACAACCAGGTCAGCACTCGTGGTCTCTTCCCCGCGAGTGCTGACCTGGGTCAGCGAGGAAGACACCACGAGTCTTGGGATGCCAGTAGGGCCTTTGGTCTCAAGGGGTAAGGGTATGAGTCTTGTTTTACAGAGGCCTTGAGTCTTAGGGGGTGGGACAGTGAATCTTGGGGAAGGGGACCCGAGTCTAGGGGGCGGGGCCTTGAGTCCTATCATGCAGTTCTTGCAAGCAGTGTGAGAGAAGGTGAGGACTTAGATCTCAGAGGCGGTGCCATGAGACCTGGGACAGGACCTTGGGTCAGGAGGGGGAGGTCGGGGATTCTCTGGGGCAGGGCTGAGAGTCTCGGAGGCGGGGCCTTGGGGGTTTTAGAGGTGGTATCATAAGTCTGTGGGCAGAGCTATTAGTATGAGTGGGTGGGGCTCTGAAATAACATAACCCATTTATTGCAGTGTGAGAGGGGAGGGGGAAATAGCCTTGCGTCTCGGGAGGCGGGGTTCTGGGGGTCTCTGGGGCGGGGCTGATAATATCTGTGGGCGGGACCTTGAGTTTCTGGGGCGGGGTTGTTAGTATCTGTGGAAGGGGCTTTGGGTCTCAGAAGGTGGGACTATTAGTCTCTTTGGGCAGGCCCTGGGTGCCTGGGATGGTGCTGTTAATATGGGTGGGCAGAACCTTAGAGTCTCTGGGGGTGGGGCTATTAGTCTCGCTGGGCGGGGCCTTGGGGGTCTCTGGGGGCGGGGTTATTAGTCTGGGTGGGTGGGGCCTTGGGGTCTCTGGGGGCGTGACTGCTAGTCTCGGTGGGCGGGGCTCTCTGTCTTGGTGGGCGGGGCTCTCTGTCTCGGTGGGCGGGGCCTAGAGTGCTATAACCCAACGATTGCAAGCATCATGAGAGGGGGTGGGGCTACATGTGACATCCACGTGGCAGTAGATATATAAGGCAGGGAGGAGGAGGATGTGAGTTTGTTGACAAGTGTGCTTCATCACGGGTGTGAGTGCCACAGGCAAGGTCACCCGGGCCGTCATCATCATCACCTCTCACTGACACTACCAACGACATCACAAACAAGGTAGGTACTTCCTCACTAGTGACACCATATGTGATAGTGATGCCTTGCTGGAGACAGACATGCTTGTTATAGTAATTATATACTGGTGAGAGTGACATTATAGTGGTGATAGTGACAGAATACTTGTGATAGTGACACTATATTGGTGATAGTGACAATATACTTTTGATAGTGACAATATACTGATAATAGTGACAATAGATATGAGAGGAAGTGCAAAATAAACCCAGTGAAGAGCAGCGGTGCAGTGGACACAATAACGGAACACTGTATCAACATCCGTGGCCCCAGATTATTCAACATCTTACCAGAAGATATCGGATACGCTACTGGGACATGTGTAGAAGTCATCGGGAGGAACCTAGAGAAGTATCTTCAGCAGGTGCCAGATCAACCAGGCAGTGATGGATATGTGGAGCAACGGGCCACCAGCAGCTGCATAGCCTGGTTGACCAGGCTAGCACCAGACAAGCCTGGCCCATGACCGGGCTCCAGGAGTAGAAAGACTCTCGGAACTCATCACAGGCATATCAAAGGAATACTGGTGATTGTGACACTATAGTGGTGATAGTGACAATACATTAGTGACACTGTACTGGCGATAGTGACTCATTGCTCTCAGGTGATAGTGATGCAATGCTCTGGTGATAGTGATGCAATGTGACGGACATTTGTTACGATGAGTAAAGGTCAAGAAGCGAGCGTCACACAGGCTGAGTTTCCTGTACTGTTGCCAGGTTTGATAACTTTACTGATAGTATATTTCTTTACGTCTGATATTTCGTAGCAACACTCCCTGGGTGTCTAGCATTACTACCATTAGTACCACCACTCATGGGTGTCTGGCACCATCACGCTGAATGCCTGGCAACGCCATACTGGGTGCCTGACACTGCAGGAATAATGCGGAAATACTTAGTGAGATTAAGGCTACGTTTTGCCGTTATTAATAATACCAGTGATGATGATACTCTTGAAGTCATTTGTTCTCCAGGGTGTAATAAAACTGAATACTAGCGGCCCACTTCAGTGCAGGCGAGAATACTAAGATGGAAAACATACGGAGACATTTCACTGTTCGTATGTATTCGCTCAAACATCTAAACTACTGGGAAGGCTTGAAGTCCCTTCTACTGTTTTATCAGAATTTACGCGAGAAAGATACTTCATAATTTATACCTGAAACATTTTGGAGGGGCTGGTCACAAACTTAGTGTGGTCAGTAGAAGTTAGGAGGAGGTACGGGATTACCAAAACTGTTGTCCAGAGGGCTGAGGAAGGGTTGTTGAGGTGGTTCGGACATGTAGAGAGAATGGAGCGAAACAGAGTGACTTCAAGAGTGTATCAGTCTGTAGTGGAAGGAAGGCGGGGTAGGGGTCGGCCTAGGAAAGGTTGGAGGGAGGGGGTAAAGGAGGTTTTGTGTGCGAGGGGCTTGGACTTCCAGCAGGCATGCGTGAGCGTGTTTGATAGGAGTGAATGGAGACAAATGGTTTTTAATACTTGACATGCTGTTGGAGTGTGAGCAAAGTAACATTTATGAAGGGTTTCAGGGAAACCGGCAGGCCGGACTTGAGTCCTGGAGATGGGAAGTACAGTGCCTGCACTCTGAAGGAGGGGTGTTAATGTTGCAGTTTAAAAACTATAGTGTAAAGCACCCTTCTGGCAAGACAGTGATGGAATGAATGATGGTGAAAGTTTTTCTTTTTCGGGCCACCCGGCCTTGGTGGGAATCGGCCAGTGTGCTAATAAAAAAATCATATATATATATATATATATATATATATATATATATATATATATATATATATATTATATATATATATATATATATATATATATATATATATATATTAATTGTTTTCTGTACAGTTACCGTGTTTGGTGCATGAACCAATTAATATATGGTAGATAAATAGGCAGAGTACCACCGCTGGTTCAAATGTTAACTCACTGACTGAATGAAAATGTTTGAGAGAGAGAGAGAGAGAGAGAGAGAGAGAGAGAGAGAGAGAGAGAGAGAGAGAGAGAGAGAGAGAGAGAGAGAGAGAGAGAGAGAGACGCACACAAACAGAGACAGAGCAAGAGAGCAAGTGTGAATGAATGTAATGTGAGTTTTTTTTTTTTTTAGTTTATCTGGTTGCGACCTTCAGCTGTCCCTGTGATAGCTGTAGGTTACATCAAGCTATCTCGGGGTGTGTATGTGATTATAAGCTTAATTTATCAGTTGTGAGACTGTGGCCCATATGAGTTACACTGCCTCTGCTGTGTCAACTGGGAATGAACACCAGCACTGTCTCTGCTGTCTGCCAGTTCAGTTGATACTGAAAGGAACACTCGGGGATGGTCTTCACTGTGTTGGTATGTATTTTTCTATGTATCCGGTTGTCAGTGATTCCATCACACATTGGATTGCTCCTTCATGAAAAAGTTGATATAGTAGCAAAAAAAAAAAAGAAGTACCGTGAAAGCAAATGTAGAAATAAATAATTAAACAATGTTTTAGAAATGCAGTTAGAAGCATGAGTAGATGTGTTATCTACTATGATAACATGAACGTCGATTAGTACATTTATAGAGCAACTTGCAATGTGAATAAAGTGATTGATCATATAGTAGCCAGGCCTAGGCTTGGTTACAACTACCTCTGGCAGTTTGGCAGACACACACATATATGATAAAACCAAATGTAAAGCATGTGGCGAGCTCTGTGGTCACTTTCTTGAACACTATGGGCTTTATTGTCCACTTACTGTGTGACATATCAAGATATCTTATTAATGAGAATCAGATACCAGACATATTAAGCAAATTTCGCAAATTTCCTAAATTTGCTTGTAACAGATCTAAATCCAGAAGCACTCATGCTAACCCTTTTGAAGCCTATTTCATAGGCTTTTTGTGTATCCATATGCACCTTAGGCATATCTATCTAATCTACTGAACTTGGTTGGTTGATATTTTCTTCGTTGGGAAATGGCGTCCTGAAATGGGCCTTAGTCATAAAATGGCTCAACAATAGCGCCTCAAAGAAGTCGTCAGTTGTGTCCTGTTAATGCTTTATCCCTGAAACCCTCATTTCAGCCCTATGCAGAGAGCTAAGTGATTATGGTCCTATATTGGTTGCTGGCCAAGAATGCGTCAATGGCGTCTTTGTCCTGGTGCAGAGTGATGGTAATTGGTGAGGCACTTTCTCAAAAACTCTAGCAAAAAACTTTCAGTAGGACTATTCCCAACTTTGAGCCCCAGCCCCGGGGAAACTTTTCTTCCCTACATGTATCACTATGGACCTGTATGTGTTTGTAGAGTATATGAATGACTAATTGCACAACGTTTATGATTGTAGTTCTCACTTGCATTGTAATATATTGTAGACTAGGAGTCATAACGGTGTCTGTTGTTGTTGTTATTGTTGTTGTCGTCTAATGGCCATCATGGCAACTCATCTGCGCCAGGGTTGCCAGCGAAGAACAGTCCCAATACAGTTATTAGATTGATGTTTTCCTGTGGCTGCGGTTGTTTTATTGCTTCCACGGTGCTGAGTGTGTGTGTGTGGTGGTTTATCACCTTTCGTAGCTGTGTGTGGTCGTGTTGCCGGGCTGTGTATGGCTACAGTTTGTCTGCATGGTGGAACATCCATCAGTCACCAGGTATCACCTGTGTTTTTCAGTGGTAGTAAGCTTGTACTCATCTGTTTGTGGTTGCAGGGGCGAGTCACAGCTCCTGGCCCTATCTCTTCGCTGGTCGCTACTAGGTCCGCTCTCTCCCTGAGCTTTATCATACCTCTTCTTAGAGCTATGTATGGATCCTGCCTCCACTGCTTCACTCTCCAGACTATTCCACTTCCTGACAGCTCTGTGACTGAAGAAATACTTTCTCACATCACTGTGACTCATCTGCGTTTTTAACTTCCAGCTGTGACCCCTTGTTGTTGTGTCCCATCTTTGAAACGATCTGTCCCACTCCACCTTTTTTTATCGATTCCTCTCAGTATTTTATATATCGCTATCGTGTCCCTGTCCCGCTTGCCATCCAGTGTCGTCAGAGTTGCCTTAATCTCTCTCTCTCTCTCTCTCTGTATGTATATACACTTCAGATAAGACGTCACCTACGATAGCACCTGCGATCATCTCAGCCTTTATCTCTCTATCTCACCGCCTCTACCTTACTGGCGCCACCATCCTCTTGCTGTCTCTCTCTCTCTCTCCTTCCCAGTGTAAGCTTGTGATGCTTACCTTGGTATGAGGTAGTTATGGCCTTCGTAGATTAATTTAAGTCATACTCTTACCCTCACAAATTTCCTATACACTCAGACTTTCTGAATATATGTGGACAGAGGACCAACAGGACCAGCATCACTAGTACAGAACATGGAACACACTTCAGATATTGAGACTCACTGTCCACAGATGTCGCGCATAATCAGAGACTTTTCACGTCTACCATTAAATGTTATAATTTTTCTGTAAAAATTCTGTATTATGGAGATATAAAGTATTTATTGATTTGTATTTATTAATTTGTTTAACTATTTATCAAGTTAAGGTCTTCCCAGCTCACCTGTCATAGCAAACTTGTCTCTAAGATCTGCAGTCTGGGGTCAGATCCTTTATTGCGAAATGACTAATTTCCTGTATTTTAATGAGAGATTTGTAACTCCCCCCCCCCAAAAAAAAAATCGCATTATATGCCAGGCTCATTGACATTAACATGGTAACTAAAATATTCAGAATAATGGTATTATAAAGTTAGGTTTTGTTTGTCCGGCGTTTGTCTGAAAGGTTGTATATCAGATCGTTCCTCCTATATTTTCTGCACATTCTGGCTGTGATTCCTTTAAGGTTTCAGCTCCTGAACGCATTTCATCAATAGTAAAGATACCTGTTTACATGGCGGTTGTTCCGGGGGTCAACGCCCCCGCGACCTGGTCCTTGATCAGGCCTCCCGGTGGATCAGAGCTGCATCAACCGGGCTGCTACTGCTGGCCGCACGCAATCCAACGTACGAGCCACAGCCTGGGTGGTCGGGCACAAACTTTAAGTATCTGTCCAGTTCCCTCTTAAAGACAGCCAGGGTCTATTGGTAATCCCCCTTATGTATGATGGGATGGGAAGTAGTTGAGCAGTCTTGGTCCCCCGGCACTTATTGTGCATTCTCTTAGTGTACTCATGGCACCCCTGCTTTTCATTGGGGTATGTCGCACCGTCTTCCTTTCATAGGGAGTAATTTCTGTGCGCAGATTTGAGGACCGTCCCTCTAGGATTTTCCAGGTATAAATTATGAAGTATCTTTCTGCCTGCGCTCCAGTAGTTGTTAGAGGCAGGAACAACCTGCTCTAACCCCATCTTGCCCTGGGTTGTGCAACTGTTGGGAATGGAAGTGGTTGGATTACAACTGTCACTTCCTCTGGCTTATTACATATATTTTTTTAACACACAGGTCGTCTCCCACCGAGGCAGGGTGACCGGAAAAAGAAGAAAAGAACATTTTCATCTTTTTACAATTAGTAATTTATACAAAAGGGGTTACTAGTCCCTTGCTCCTGGTATTTAAGTCTCCTCTGACAAAACGCATGGCTTACAGAGGAAGGATTCTTCTCCACTTCCCCCTGGACAGCTTATTGCACACACACACACACACACACACACACACACACACACACACACACACACACACACACACACACATACATACACACACACACATACACACACACACACACACACACACACACACACACACACACACACACACACACACACACACACACACACACACACACACACACACACACACACACACACACACACACACACACACACACACACACACACACACACACATTCAGGACCCTGTACACCGTGTATGTTAGGCCCATATTGGAGTATGCGGCACCAGTTTGGAACCCACACCTAGCCAAGCACGTGAAGAAACTAGAGAAAGTGCAAAGGTTTGCAACAAGACTAGTCCCAGAGCTAAGAGGTATGTCCTACGAGGAGAGGTTAAGGGAAATCAACCTGACGACACTGGAGGACAGGAGAGATAGGGGGGACATGATAACGACATACAAAATACTGAGAGGAATTGACAAGGTGGACAAAGACAGGATGTTCCAGAGATTGGACACAGTAACAAGGGGACACAGTTGGAAGCTGAAGACACAGATGAATCACAGGGATGTTAGGAAGTATTTCTTCAGCCACAGAGTAGTCAGTAAGTGGAATAGTTTGGGAAGCGATGTAGTGGAGGCAGGATCCATACATAGCTTTAAGCAGAGGTATGATAAAGCTCACGGCTCAGGGAGAGTGACCTAGTAGCGATCAGTGAAGAGGCGGGGCCAGGAGCTCGGACTCGAACCCCGCAACCTCAACTAGGTGAGTACAACTAGGTGAGTACACACACACACACACACACAAAAACACACACACACACACACACACACACACACACGCACACAAGCTACTATGAGATGAAAAAAAAAAACTAACTCTAAGCCTTTCGCACTTGGGGAGTCATTCAATGTTGCAAGATTGGTTGAGGTGAAAGATTCTCTGGTGTAGGAATGTATTTCTGGCACACAGCCCACCATGTGACAGCAGGCAGACCCAGTACCACCACCACGCCCACACACTCATCCCACACCCTCCAACCTTCCCACGTGAGGTACTGGACAGCCTCCAAGGTTTACAAACAATTCAAATACCTAGGAATCCCTAAACCCACTCCGATAACGTGCTGTAGTGAGGCTGGTTTAGCAGGTACTAAACTAGGAATATTCAATATCTTCAAGAATACTGTGAAATACTCGAGGATAACTAGTAATATACACTAATATTTAAATACTCGTGAATCCGTAAACCCACACTGATATTTTCCATGGTGATCCAGGGACGACAGATATGAGATAAAGAATATCCAGGATAACATTTTATAGTGAAGCAAGGGTGCCAGCCAACACAGTTTGAGAACATGCTGGTAATGCTACTTCATTAAGAGGTGACAGTAAGGAATAAACATTTCTCGCCCACGTTACTTTTAACTTCCACAATAACGTTAATAGTGGAAGAGCCAACTAATAAATATGAATTCATAATGTCACTAGATCAGCTGATATCAAGGTGGCGCGGTTATAGAGCAGGCTATCAAGGCTGATTCAGATAATTTTTTGCTGTCTATAAACCCTGGAGGGTGTCCAGTAGCCCCCTGTGGTAGAACGGGGGTGTGGGAGCAGTGCGTGGGTGTTGTGTTATAGAGTCTGCTTTCTGTCATGGGATGGTCTGCGTGCCGAACACGCATTCCTACCTCTGAGAGAATCTTCTTCCCTCATCAACTTGTTGCAGCACTTCCTGCAACATTGTATTGTATATCTTCTGATTAAACCCAGCAGCAGCTAAAAGAGCTGCTGCTGATTTATCCTGCTAATGTTTACTACTGACACTTTAAGTAGGTGTTATCCCTCAGGTTCCTTCTGATACCTCTTCATAGACACTGTGTCACTTCTTATCAAAGGCGTATGTGTACCTAGAGGTACCTGCTGATATATATACATTTAGAATTAAGCTTAATCTCTCTGTTAGGTATTAAAATATTCTTGGCTGGAATCAATAGGTTTTAAACAACAATGTACCCTGTACTAAAAACATTTTACAATTTAGAAAGAATTACTGAATTGCATAATTGACTTTAAAATTAGGAGAGAGCTGAGTATCCTTATATTGAGAATATTCACGCGAATATTTCTTGTGATGTGACATGCACAAGACACAAGCAACAGTGACGTGACATGCACAAGCAACAGAGGTTCGGGTGGTCTAGCCTCATGTGTTGCACTGACGTGTTCCTGTCAAGCTGATGTAGCTTGAATCATCACACCACCATCACTCTACCCCCTCATAATGGTGACCACCCTTACCCTCACCATCGCAAGGATAAATACGTACAGAGGTGTGTGGATCACATTGATATATTCTGTGCTGGAGGTCAACAGGTTACATGCAGCTTTAATGATCCTCGTGTAGTTGACAGTCTTTAAATCCACTTAAGCAACCCCACCACTATTACCAGCATCCTTCTCAACCCCCTCCTGATATTTACCACCACCATTACTACCATCCCTCGCCCACCCACAACAGTCGCTACCATAATAACAGAGCCATCACTACCACCTCTACGACCCCAACCCCTTGTTGCCATCATTTCCACCTCTACGACCCCAACCCCTTGTTGCCATCACTACCACCTCTACGATCCCAACCCCTTGTTGCCATCATTACCACCTCTACGACCCCAACCCCTTGTTGCCATCATTACCACCTCTACGACCCCAACCCACCGTTGTCATCACTACCACCCCAACCCAAACAAAAACAATAATTGAAAAATTACCTTCACTTAGTTGTCTACATGTGTACACAACAAGACCACTGCACCTAGCAGTCTAATTCTCCACTACAGTAAGATCCTGAAGGCTAATTTGTTTACAAGCCAGCCGGTTTTTTTCAATATTTGTATTAAATTGATGTACCCATCAAAGGAAGGGCTCTTGATTCATGGAATTTGAGCTGCCCTCCTTTTTTCTTGGATCATACCCCCCTCCAGGGGCAATATGACCCTCACAGCCTTATTAGGGGTCAACTTACCTCCAGGTAATAGAAATAGTGTGTTGGACTCAGGTCTGTACGATCACCTCTAGACTGTCACAAGTGTCATAAAAAGTAAACATAGGGATTACTTTTGTATTACCACTGCTACTACTATTACTTTTACTACTACTACTACTACTGCTTCTATTAACTGTTACTATTACTAGTACTGCTGCTACTATTACTAGTAGCTACTAATACTGTTGTTGCTGTTGCTGCTACTATTACTATACTACTACAACTAAGGATACTCTTGAACTAGTGTACTACACTAGAAAGTCTATCTAGAGGTAATACCGGAGACAGAATTCTGCTCACTTGTAGCTTGACGTGGGCTGCTCTGTCCACCTGTGACTTGATGTGGGCTGCTCTGTCCACCTGTGACTTGATGTGGGCTGCTCTGTAAACCTGTGACTTGATGTGGGCTGCTCTGTAAACCTGTGACTTGATGTGGGCTGCTCTGTAAACCTGTGACTTGATGGGGGCTGATTTGCCTACCTGTTTGTGTTACGATTAACAAATGGAGGATCGAGCCTCCACCACTTCTTGCTTTGAGTTACTCACACGAGTGTAGTGTTTCTGATAACTACATAATCTCTTTTTCAGCAATGATCACAGCCTCGCTGACTTCGGCTTCGAGATATGTACTCATGGGTGTTACCTATGTACTCATGTGTGTTCTTTGTACTCCAGTTGATCATACATCTCCTAGTTTTACAATAAGTAACTCAGTATCAATACCTGACAACCGATGAACATATAAGAAATTATAAGTGATGCTTTATAACCCCCATCATGACAAGGTCATCACTGATATTGTCTTCCGCAGTCACTTCCACCACTGCCAGCACCACCCAGACCTCCATCACCAGCATCACCCCAACTTACACCACCAGGATCACCCTCACCACCACCACCGCCACTACCATGAGACCCTCCAGTTTTCTCACCACCTCTATTGTCGTCCTTGTCGTGGTCGTCTTGCAGTAAGTATTTTGGTGACACTTGTGTCATTTCTCTTCCCCCTTTTTTTGTCGTCATCTGTTCTCTTGAATGTCCTCTATACAGCCTTGTTATCATATATTATTTACAGAACTGACAAGTGGATGAAAAAAACACACGTGTAACACTTGGGTATCTTTATTATGGATACGTCTTCACAATAAAGATACCCAGATATTGCACATGCATCTTACTGACTCAGCTTTGCTTATGTAGGTTCTAGTAAACCGAGTAAAGTCAGCAGTGTTTGCAACGTTGGCAAGCAAGAAAACTTCCGGGAATTTGGTCAGGGTTTTGCCAGGATAATATACACAGTATGACTCTCACTGAGTGTTGGGTGAGTGATGAGGTGTCACCTTTCTCTGTAGTTCCATTGAAAATCATTTGGGTGAAGGTTGAAATAACAAGAGCTGAGAGTGTGTACCTGTGAGTGTCGTGTGTGTGTGTGTGTGTGTGTTTGTGTGTGTGTGTGTGTGTGTGTGTGGAGAGGAGAGGTAAACAGTCTCCTCATTATATTGTATAATAATACAAGAGATTAGAGGAATAACAAATTAATACCAATAATATATGTAAATATGTACAATAAAGGTATGTAGCATTTCACAAACTGTGTAGTATTTGCTGTTTAATCATTATTAAGATTTACTTTAGTACTGAAATGTACCATGGCTGTATGTCCACTGCAAGATAAGTGGTACTGATAATATCTAACTTAAAGGGCAGATTAGATTTCCTAATTGAGTTTTCAGTTAAGGCCTGACTGTCAGTATTGTTTGCTTGATAGTTTTATTACTCAACCCATACCCACCTTGTAGGTGGTAGTAACTCCATACCCATCCTGTAGGCAGTAGTCACCTCACACTCATTCTGAGGTGGTTGTCACAAGATTACAGACACAAAAAGGGTCCAGAGACTGGCGGTGGAATTATTCACCAGGAAAGGTGTCTCCTAACCTATATCTTGATCGAATGACGATCCTCTTGAGCGATTAAGCAACCCCCGGTGTACCTTTGCTAAGTTGCCTCCCCATTAAAAAATACCCAGACCACATGTTCATCTTATTTGTGAGTGTAGAGGACAGTGAGTTTCTTTGACGTGTTATCTTGTGTTATCTACCCTGGTGGGTGACAGTCCATGACAGAATGTGTGTGTCACTCTACCTTGGTGAGTGACAGCCGATGAGAGAAACACAACTCTTCATTGTGAACTTTCTTTTTTATAGTTGGTCATTGTGGCTGTGATAGTTGTGTGTTGCTTTGCAGGGAGACTGCAGCAGCACCTAGGTGCAACAGGCAAGGCACCAGGACCCCATCTCTCAACTGCAAGTATGGTACAGTAGCTGACTGGTGTGGCAACCGTGTGTGTGCCAAGGTATGTCACACTACCCTCCATACATCCATACTTCTTCGCTTCCTTCATTCATTCGTTCACTTCATCCATCCTTCCTTTCTTTCCACGAGCAGCATAATCTTACTGTGATTCCTGACTTCTTTCTTTCCGTCTTTCTGATCTTCCTTTTTTCTTTTTTTTTTACTCCTTTCTACCCTGAGTTCCTTTTTACAAAGGACTCCTTTCTACCCTGAGTTCCTCTTTACAGAGGTCAATATTCAGCAACATATACCTCTCCTTGTTTCAGTATGGTCAATTTTTGTTTTCCCAATTGCAGAGCATTTCATTGTTCGCAACTGTAGACGTTAAAATTATATTACGACCCTACAAGTAATGTTGCCTATTAACGTTTTTGTTAAATTTGACTTTTCCAAAAAAATTTTGTAAAAAAAAAAAATGGCTTCTGTGAAACAACCACCAGAGGCAGGATATCAAGTGTTTCTTTAACCTCCTATTTCATCACTTGCAGCATTATGTTCATCCTCCTGCAGGGGATGTAAGAGTGTCCTCAAGAAATAATATCATTTACTGTATTGGAAAAAGTATATCTACATGAACAGTTCACAACTAATCTATACATGTGAAATGTAAACTAAATGGCGTATCGGTCGATCCTGGACCATTAATAGCCATTATCGGTCGGTCCTGGACTATTAATAGCCATTATCGGTCGGTCCTGGACTATTAATAGCCATTATCGGTCGATCCTGGACCATTAATAGTCATTATCGGTCGGCCCTGGACTATTAATAGCCATTATCGGTCGGTCCTGGACTATTAATAGCCATTATCGGTCGGTCCTGGACTATTAATAGCCATTATCGGTCAGTCCTGGACCATTAATAGTTATGCGGTTCGAGACGGGCCGCAGTGCCTATTAATGTCATTTGTGGAATGGTTGTGAATTTTGTTCCTTATTATGACTGTTCTTGTCCATGTTTAGGGCCCCGGCGAAACCTGCGGCGGTGACTGGGGAGAAAAAGGAGCGTGTGTTGCAGGAACGTACTGTTCCTGTGGCTTCTGTTCTTGCGGCTACTGCACCGGCTGCGCCGCCAACCTGGATTGTTGGTTCGGTCACTTCTGCTAGACTGGAACCTCCTGCACTCCCCGCTGTCACCCTCGTCACGCAGCGCCACAGAGCTACCTGTTCCTCCGGCCTCGCTCGGTCGTCTCCACTCAGTGAGAAAAGAGGAAGCAGTGACCTCTTTGCTTGGTCTTCCTCTCCCGGTTCGTTGGCTCGGCTGGACAAAATGAAGAATATTGTTAGGTGGAGGCTGCACACTGTGGCTGCACCCTGTGGCCGCACCCTGTGGCCGCACACTGTGGCCGCACCCTGTGGCTGCACCTTATGGCCGCACCCTGTGGCTGCACCCTGTGACCACCTTGTGGTTGCACTTGGTGGCTAAACAGACACGTACGCAGGTTTTTAATCCCGCTTACGTATGTATTTACATACTTATCTATATTACTTACCATTTTTATGTAAACAGCGACTATCGAGCCTCTGCCCGCTATCACTTACGCAAGATTTCAGAGCAGTGGAGGCAAGGTAGTAGTAATAGTAGTAGTGGTAGTGTTATTTACCTCTTTCCCCGCGGGGCTGACCCTTCCCCCCTTAGTCCATGGAGGGAGGGGGGGGATCTTTCCAGCCCTCACGGTGGTGTCCCGCCCCAGTTCGAACCCCCGTAGGGAGGGAGGGAGGGTACTATGCTACTCAACCAGCGTTTCCACCATTTTAACTCTATTCAATACATGATCGGTATGATTGGAAGTGCCCACACATGGGTACGTATGTGTGAATGTTCATACACTCATACAAGATATATGCATGAGCGTGAATATTGATCTACACAATATGCATGTATCAGTGGTGATACATATATGGTGTACATAACAGCTAATATCCAGTCTAAATTACACTTAGTGTGATTACATTGTACATATATCTGTACATATATGTAAATATGATAACTTTTGAAAGTGCATATTTGCCTTTGTGATAGACAGAGTACAAATCAAGTAATATTAGGAACCCCTGGTTATCAAATCACGAGAAGTCTGCCTCTTGTTCTGACAGCTTCCACCAGGGACTCTTGACTCTCCCTGTTTTGACTCACCTTGTCTTGACTCACCTTGTCTTGACTCACCTTGTTTTGACTCACCTTATCTTGACTCACCTTGTCTTGACTCACCTTGTCTTGACTCATCTTGACTCACCTTGTCTTGACTCATCTTGACTCACCTTGTCTTGACTCATCTTGACTCACCTTGTCTTGACTCACCTTGTCTTCACTTACACTTTCTATAGGTTCTTTTTTATTTTGAAAGGTATATTGTATTGTTTTTTTTTCTTCATTATTTCAGGTTTGTGTATGCACACGCGCATTCACAAACGTGTTTGCACATGCTTAAAACACACACCACTCAAACACGCCCGCACACTGTCTTCAGGAATCTTATATGCAACATCTGGGTATCATTATTGTAGACGTTTCGCCATCCAGTGGCTTTATCAATACAAATTCTAGGACATAACTTGAAAGTAGAACTATGTACAGAAGATGAAGTAATCAGTCCCTCAACCTTGGAGTAGGTGCGAAGAGCACCATAGTCGTGGAGATACTGAAGCAGAAGCAAGGAGCCTGGATGGCGAAACTTCTACAATAAAGATACCCAGATGTTGCACCTGTGTCTTAATTTCATCTTGTTGGTATTATATACCATTCTTGCACAGGAATCTTATAGTCATTTCATGCAGTGTACAGCACGTAAGACCAGTCCTCTGTTATGAAGCACCAGTGTGGAGCCCACACCTAGTCAAACAGGTTCGACGTGTGTACAAGTCCCTCACATTTTATCGTCAAACATCCTAACAAGACGTCTGACCTACCACTAGTATGCCAAAGCCGGTATGTCCAAATCTGCAGAAGTTAACGCTGGTGCTCAGAGTTAAAACTGAAGACTGAGAATACTGACGATCGCGTGTTGTGGTTAGGTTATTATTGCTGCACTCTGCATGCATGTTTCTGTTGATTCGAAGTGGTGTTCACCTCTCTTGTTGCCAGACTCCTGAAGACCTTTACCACTCGAGGAGTTGACAAGTGTGCATTAACGTGAGGCATATCACAGAATGGAGTTATATAATTTATTAGAGAAGAATACAGAGATCTGAGGCAGATTTGCATCATATATATATATATATATATATATATATATATATATATATATATATATATATATATATATATATATATATATATATATATATATATAATATATATATAATATAATATATTTGGTAAGGCAGTTGTGTATCATGTAGTATATACATTATTTTCACAAGACATGTATTATATATATACATCATTTTCATTAGACATCCGTGTCATATTGTATATACATCACCGGATTTCATTATATATTAATATTAGTATACACATAACATGTATAAATAAAGTTTTTTTTTTTTTTTATAAATTTTGTATTTTGATATTCTGTATAAAAAATCATTTGCATGTATATTCCTTTATTTCATCAGTCTTTTATATATTATCACCACTTGCAGTAATTATAACACAGCTCATTGTATTCCTTGTTAAAGCTATGTTGCAAGGTGTGATACATGAATGTGCGAAGTATATGCTAATAAATATTATATTTATTGGAAGTACGCAAGTATTTTGAATTCATCATTACCATTATTCCTATGGTAAAGTATCCATCAAGATGTCAAACATGCACACGTCTGTGTATGGATTTGTCTGAAGGAAGTCAACAAATGAAGTCACATGACCCGGTTGATGTGATAATTGGAGATAACTTTATGGGTTGTGAATTGTTCCAGCCAAGGTATTGTGACTTTTATTTCTCAGATGTAGTATAAAAGACAGGCAGACGAGATGCAGAACTTATAGCAGAACATCAGATACTGCCAACAGAAATATCAGAAAACAATATATCATCCCATATTTAATATAAGAATATTAAGAGAATGGGGAAAAAATCAATGGAAACGAATAATTGTAATATTAAAGGTTATCGGGGAGATTTTAATTCTAAACTCTAAATAAATATAGCTATGTAATCTTTGCCTAATTACAAGGCCTCTCTCAGCTTCTTCCTGGCGAGGTAGCCACGAAGAGCCGCCTGGATTCTGACTACAGCTCTCAGCACCCTAGGGTCATTCAGGTCCACACTTCCCTCGGTCTTTTTTCGCAGGGCCTTGCGAGTCTTGTAACCCTTGAAGCCCGCTTGGATCTTTGCGGCTGCGGCATCGAGTGAGAGTTGAGAGTCATCCGAACATGTATGGTCAATGGTCCTGTCTATTTTTTGTTGTTGTACGCGTTTGCGGGCCAGATACCCACGAACGACCGCCTGTATGGTGACGACAGCTTTTGTGACCACTGGGTCATCAGATGGGAGTTTCGAGTTGTAATATGACGGGTTTGGCTTCCGGGAAGGTTTTTTAAGTACCTTTCGTGTTTTATAGCCACGAAAAACTGCTTGAATTTTTGTAGCGGCCCTGTTTCTTCGAGCAGATATCCTTGAATTACTTCTATATTTTCTCTGTCGTGCTGGACCATTTGTGGGGTGACCTTCGATTTGTCGTCTCGCCTGATACCCCCTAAATAGGCTCTGAATTTTTATAGCTGCGCGATTCAGTTCTTCAGAATTATCTGGAGCTTCTAACTCGGGAAACTTCTGACATGGACTGGCATCTCGACTGGAGTTGCTCGACCAGCCACTGTCTCCAGACTGCGCTACATCTATTTTATTTAAATCATCATCTTTGTCTGGATAAGACTTATTCGTACCTTGAATCTCTATATTATTCATATCTACACTACTTATAATTATTTCTGGTTCTACAAAAATTCTGTCGTTTCCATTTTCTCTTAAATTATCCTTAATTTCTTTATTATTTTTTAGTTCAGTTTCATTATCCTTTTTGTGCTTTCTTCTCACTGAATGACCCCTAAAGGCAGCTTGTATTCTGGTAGCTGCTAGAGTTTCTTTCTCCGTCTCGCACTCAGAGTTACTTATTTTAATATTTTTAAGTTCTTTGCGAGCTTTAAACCCACGGAATGTTGACTGAATTTTTGTTGCTGCGGTTTCTTGCTCTTTCGAATTTGGTAACCTTTGGAGTACTGTTTGGTTAGTGGAGATATTTTCGGTACTTTCAGGTGCATGTAATTTTTTCCGAACCAGGAACCCACGATATAAAGACTGAATTACAATAGCTGCTTTCTGAAGTTCAGGATCATTGAGATTAATTTCTCCAATGCCTTCATTTCTTAAAGAATGTAAATTCTTCAAATCTTGTCTGGTTTTGAAGCCTCGGAATGACGATTGAATCTTTACTGCTGCTTCTTGTAGTTCAGGGTCATTTAGATCAATTACTTCTAAGTTTTCACTGTCTTGGATATTGGAACCCTTCAAATTCTGTCTGGTTTTGAAGCCTCGGAATGAAGATTGAATCTTTACTGCTGCTTCTTGTAGTTCAGGGTCATTTAGATCAATTACTTCTAAGTTTTCACTGTCTTGGATATTGGAACCCTTCAAATTCTGTCTGGTTTTGAAGCCTCGGAAAGAAGATTGAATCTTTATTGCTGCTTCTTGTAGTTCAGGGTCATTTAGATCAATTACTTTTAAGTTTTCACTGTGTTGCGTATCAGAACCCTTCAAATCTTGTCTGGTTTTGAAGCCTCGGAAGGCTGACTGAATCTTTATAGCTGCTTCTTGTAGTTCTGGGTCACTTAGATCAATTTCCTGAATATTTTCAGTCCTAGAACCTTTTAAATCTTGTCTTGTTTTGAAGCCTCTGAATGATGACTGAATTTTTATTGCTGCTTCTTGCAGTTCTGGATCATTAAGATCAATTCCTTCTAAGTTTTCACTGTCTTGGGTATTGGAACCCTTCAAATCTTGTCTAGTTTTGAAGCCTCTGAATGATGACTGAATTTTTATTGCTGCTTCTTGCAGTTCAGGATCACTGAGGTCAATTCCCTGAATGTCTACACTTTCTTGAGTATTGGAACCCTTCAAGTCTTGTCTGGTTTTGAAGCCTCGGAATGATGATTGAATCTTTATTGCTGCTTCTTGTAATTCTGGATCATTAAGATCAATTCCCTCAATATTCTTATTTTCTGAAAATTTAGACCCCATCAATTCTTCTCTGGTTTTGAAGCCTCGGAAGGCTGACTGAATCTTTATAGCTGCTTCTTGTAGTTCTGGGTCACTTAGATCAATATCCTGAATATTTTCACTTTCTGGAGTCCTAGAATCCTTCAAATCTTGTCTTGTTTTGAAGCCTCGGAATGAAGACTGAATCTTTATTGCTGCTTCATGTAGTTCAGGGTCATTTAGATCAATTTCTTGAATGTTTTTATTGTCTTGGGTATTGGAACCCTTCAAATCTTGTCTGGTTTTGAAGCCTCGGAATGAAGATTGAATTTTTATTGCTGCTTCACGTAGTTCAGGGTCATTTAGATCAATTCCTTCTAAGTTTTCACTGTCTTGGGTATTGGAACCCTTCAAATCTTGTCTGGTTTTGAAGCCTCGGAATGATGACTGAATTTTTATTGCAGCTTCTTCTAGTTCTGGATCATTAAGATTAATTCCTTCTAAGTTTTCACTGTCTTGCATATTGGAACCCTTTAAATCTTGTCTAGTTTTGAAGCCTCGGAAAGAAGATTGAATCTTTATTGCTGCTTCTTGTAGTTCTGGATCATTAAGATCAATTCCCTCAATATTCTTATTTTCTGAAAATTTAGACCCCATCAATTCTCTGGTTTTGAAGCCTCGGAAGGCTGACTGAATCTTTATAGCTGCTTCTTGTAGTTCTGGGTCACTTAGATCAATATCCTGAATATTTTCACTTTCTGGAGTCCTAGAATTCTTCAAATCTTGTCTTGTTTTGAAGCCTCGGAATGAAGACTGAATCTTTATTGCTGCTTCATGTAGTTCAGGGTCATTTAGATCAATTTCTTGAATGTTTTTATTGTCTTGGGTATTGGAACCCTTCAAATCTTGTCTGGTTTTGAAGCCTCGGAATGAAGATTGAATTTTTATTGCTGCTTCTTGTAGTTCAGGGTCATTTAGATCAATTTCTTCTAAGTTTTCACTATCTTCCATATTGAAACCCTTTAAATCTTGTCTAGTTTTGAAGCCTCGGAAAGAAGATTGAATCTTTATTGCTGCTTCTTGTAGTTCTGGATCATTAAGATCAATTCCTTCTAAGTTTTCACTGTCTTGGGTATTGGAACCCTTCAAATCTTGTCTAGTTTTGAAGCCTCGGAAAGAAGATTGAATCTTTATTGCTGCTTCTTGTAGTTCTGGATCATTAAGATCAATTCCTTCTAAGTTTTCACTGTCTTGGGTATTGGAACCCTTCAAATCTTGTCTGGTTTTGAAGCCTCGGAATGATGACTGAATTTTTATTGCAGCTTCTTCTAGTTCTGGATCATTAAGATTAATTCCTTCTAAGTTTTCACTGTCTTGGGTATTGGAACCCTTCAAATCTTGTCTAGTTTTGAAGCCTCGGAATGATGACTGAATTTTTATTGCTGCCTCTTGTAATTCTGGATCATTAAGATCAATTCCCTCAATATTTTCATTTTCTGATAATTTAGACCCCATCAATTCTTCTCTGGTTTTGAAGCCTCGGAAGGCTGACTGAATCTTTATAGCTGCTTCTTGTAGTTCTGGGTCACTTAGATCAATTTCCTGAATATTTTCACTTTCTGGAGGATGAGACCCCTTTAGATTTTGTCTGGTTTTGAAACCTCGGAATGAAGACTGAATTTTTATCGCTGCTTCTTGCAATTCAGGATCATTTAGATCAATTTCTTCTAAGTTTTCACTATCTTCCGTACTGGAACCCTTTAAATCTTGTCTTGTTTTGAAGCCTCTGAATGAAGACTGAATTTTTATTGCTGCTTCTTGTAATTCTGGGTCATTTAGATCAATTCCTTGAATGTTTTCACTGTCTTGGGTACTGGAACCTTTCAACTCTTGTCTTGTTTTGAAGCCTCGGAATGAAGACTGAATCTTTATTGCTGCTTCTTGTAATTCTGGATCATTAAGATCTATTCTCGGAATGTCTTCACTTTCTTGAGTATTGGAACCCTTCAAATCTTGTCTGGTTTTGAAGCCTCGGAATGAAGATTGAATCTTTATTGCTGCTTTTTGTAGTTCTGGATCATTAAGATCAATTCCTTCGATATTTTCGTTTTCTAAAAATTTAGACCCCTTCAATTCTTCTCTGGTTCTGAAGCCTCGGAAGGCCGACTGAATCTTTATAGCTGCTTCTTGTAATTCTAGGTCACTTAAATCAATTTTCTGAATATTTTCAATTTCTGGAGTCTTAGAATCTTTCAAATCTTGTCTTGTTTTGAAACCTCGAAATGAAGATTGAATCTTTATTGCTGCGTCTTGCAGTTCAGGATCATTTAGATCAATTCCTTCAACGTTTTCATTTTCTTTGGCATTGGATCCCTTCAAGTTTTGTCTGGTTTTGAAACCTCGGAAGGAGGACTGAATCTTTATTGCTGCTTCTTGAAGTTCAGGGTCATTTAGATCAATTCCTTCAATACTTTCACTTTCTTGAGTATTGAAGCATTTCAAATCTTGTCTGGTTTTGAAGCCTCGGAATGACGATTGAATCTTGATTGCTGCTTCTTGCAGTTCTGGGTCATTTAGATCAATTCCTTCAATGTTTTCACTTTCTGGAGTCTTAGCAGCCCTTAAATCTTGTCTGGTTTTAAAGCCTCGATATGATGACTGAATTTTTATTGCTGCTTCTTGCAATTCTCGGTCATTAAGGTTAATTTCTATATCTCTCGCATCTTCCTTTGTGCAACTCTTGATAGCTGCTTCGTGAACCTTTTCATCTTCAGAGTTCATACGTTTCCCATTATTCTCAAATGGTTGTTCCACTGATTCCTGTGCCACTGACTGTTTATTTTCCATTGATTTTCTTGTTTGATATCCTCGGAACGTAGCCTGGATCTTCGTTGCTGCCATCCCAAGTTCTTCATTCTCCCCAGATTTGTCTGCTGCCTGAAAATATTAGTAGAGATATCAGGTTACATATATTTGTGTCTTATGGAAAGTATTGGTATTGGAATATTAAAAGTCTATATCAATTTAATTGATCATTTATGCTTTTATCAATATATGTCAAGACAAATTTTCAAAGCTTGCAATATTATTTTTATTTTGAGTTTAGATATTACATTAATTGACTGATAAATTATTAGTGAAAGTGTTTCTAGTAAGATAGCTGTGGGCTCTGGGGAAAGCAACCTGAAGTTAAGACTAGATACATTACAAACGGGACAAGTGACAAGGGACACCAAACATCTAGGTATCAAACAAAAGCGCTGATCTATGACAAGTGAAAAAATATCAAACAAAAGCAATGATCTGTCATAAGACCAAGAACAATAAGCTGGCAATGATCAAACAGAACACTTTTCTACCATAGGTGAAACAAGAAACATCAAACAGAAGCACTTATCTACAATAAGTGAGACAGGAACACAAAATTGAAGCATTCATCTATCACAAGACCAAACAATAAACAGAAACAGGCAAGTTTTTACCACAAGCAAAGCAAGTGACATTCAACATAGTGATCACACAAATAAAAGATGAGGATACGTTTAAGACACACAAGAAGAAACTTCAAATATCTTGCTAGAGTTACAAAAGTAATATGTTCTACTACAGTTCAGTTGTTGTTTTCATTAATAGCAGAATATATAGAGAAGTCTCGTCCACCAGGGGCTTGGTCAGTTTGTCAAACCTTTATTAACTCAATAAAGTACCATAAACCGCATACTGTCTTATTAACACAGAGATAACTGTTGTTGGTGAGGAAGAAACTGTCTTAATGAACCTCGAGTAAGTGAAGTGGACTGACTGACTGTAATGGTAAGCTAATGTTTTAATGGTGACTGTGCCACCGATCTATCATACTGTGACCACCAGTCCACCATGCTGTGACTAGTCTACTATGCTGTGACCAGTCTACCATGCTGTGACCAGTCTGCCATGCTGTGACCGGTCCACCATGCTGTGACCAGTCCACCGTATTGTGATCACTAGTCCATCATACTGTGATCACTGGTCCACTATACTGTGACCACCAGTTCACCATGCTATGACCAGTCCACGATACTGTGATCATTAGTACACCATACTGTGACCACCAGTCCACCATGCTGTGACCAGTCCACCATACTGTAATTACTGGTCCACCATACTGTGATCACTGGTCCACCATACTGTGATCACTGGTCCACCATACTGTGACCACCAGTCCACCATGCTATGACCAGTCCACGATACTGTGATCATTAGTCCACCATACTGTGACCACCAGTCCACCATGGGTCCTACACAGATGACAGCAAGGAAATGAGTGAGCTACTCAAGTCCCAATATGACTCAGTTTTTAACAAGTCGCTAACCAGACTGAGAGTCGAAGATCAAAATGAATTTTTTATGAGAGAGCCACAAAATTTGGTTAACACAAGCCTATCCGATGTTATCCTGACGCCAAATGACTTTGAACAGGCGATAAATGACATGCCCATGCACTCTGCCCCAGGGCCAGACTCATGGAACTCCGTGTTCATCAAGAACTGCAAGAAGCCCCTATCACGAGCCTTTTCCATCCTATGGAGAGGGAGCATGGACACGGGGGTCGTCCCACAGTTACTAAAAACAACAGACATAGCCCCACTCCACAAAGGGGGCAGTAAAGCAACAGCAAAGAACTACAGACCGATAGCACTAACATCCCATATCATAAAAATCTTTGAAAGGGTCCTAAGAAGCAAGATCACCACCCATCTAGAAACCCATCAGTTACACAACCCAGGGCAACATAGGTTTAGAACAGGTCGCTCCTGTCTGTCTCAACTATTGGATCACTACGACAAGGTCCTAAATGCACTAGAAGACAAAAAGAATGCAGATGTAATATATACAGACTTTGCAAAAGCCTTCGACAAGTGTGACCATGGCGTAATAGCGCACAAAATGCGTGCTAAAGGAATAACAGGGAAAGTCGGTCGATGGATCTATAATTTCCTCACTAACAGAACACAGAGAGTAGTCGTCAACAGAGTAAAGTCCGAGGCAGCTACGGTGAAAAGCTCTGTTCCACAAGGCACAGTACTCGCTCCCATCTTGTTCCTCATCCTCATATCCGACATAGACAAGGATGTCAGCCACAGCACCGTGTCTTCCTTTGCAGATGACACCCGAATCTGCATGACAGTGTCTTCCTTTGCAGATGACACCCGAATCTGCATGACAGTGTCTTCCATTGCAGACAGTGCAAGGCTCCAGGCGGACATCAACCAAATCTTTCAGTGGGCTGCAGAAAACAATATGAAGTTCAACGATGAGAAATTTCAATTACTCAGATATGGTAAACACGAGGAAATTAAATCTTCATCAGAGTACAAAACAAATTCTGGCCACAAAATAGAGCGAAACACCAACGTCAAAGACTTGGGAGTGATCATGTCGGAGGATCTCACCTTCAAGGACCATAACATTGTATCAATCGCATCTGCTAGAAAAATGACAGGATGGATAATGAGAACCTTCAAAACTAGGGAGGCCAAGCCCATGATGACACTCTTCAGGTCACTTGTTCTATCTAGGCTGGAATATTGCTGCACACTAACAGCACCTTTCAAGGCAGGTGAAATTGCTGACCTAGAAAATGTATAGAGAACCTTCACGGCGCGCATAACGGAGATAAAACACCTCAATTACTGGGAGCGCTTGAGGTTCCTAAACCTGTATTCCCTGGAACGCAGGCGGGAGAGATACATGATTATATACACCTGGAAAATCCTAGAGGGACTAGTACCGAACTTGCACACGAAAATCACTCACTACGAAAGCAAAAGACTTGGCAGACGATGCAACATCCCCCCAATGAAAAGCAGGGGTGTCACTAGCACGTTAAGAGACCATACAATAAGTGTCAGGGGCCCGAGACTGTTCAACTGCCTCCCAGCATGCATAAGGGTGATTACCAACAGACCCCTGGCAGTCTTCAAGCAGGCACTGGACAAGCACCTAAAGTCGGTTCCTGACCAGCCGGGCTGTGGCTCGTACGTTGGTTTGCGTGCAGCCAGCAGCGACAGCCTGGTTGATCAGGCTCTGATCCACCAGCAGGCCTGGTCACAGACCGGGCCGCGGGGGCGTTGACCCACGGAACTCTCTCCAGGTAAACTCCAGTCACACAACAGTCATACTGTTACTGCTCCTGGTTGGGTTCACCGCTACCAACCACTGCGAGGAAGTCAGGGAAGGGAGCATCAGCAAGATTACACAAGTGGATGAGGATGCCAGTGACAGTGCTTCAGACGAGGCTGGCAGAGAGAGACGCCAGGTTCGCCAGTCCACCCTACTGTGATCACTAGTTCACCATACTGTGACCACCAGTCCACCATGCTGTGACCAGTCAACCATGCTGTGACCAGTCAACCATGCTGTGACCAGTCTATCATGCTGTGACCAGTCCACCATACTGTGACCACCAGTCCACCATGCTGTGATCACCGGCCCACCTTGCTGTGAACATCAGTCCACCCTGCTGTGACCAGTCCACCATACTGTGACCACCAGTCCACCATACTGTGACCACTAGTCCTCAATGCTGTAACCACCGACCCACAATATTGTGATCAACGACCCACACCATGTTGTGACCGATCCAACATACTGTGACCATCGACCCACCATGCTGTGATCAACCCACCATGCTGTGACCATTGACCCACCATGCAGTAACCAACCCACCATGCAGTAACCAACCCACCATGCAGCAACCAACCCACCATGCAGTAGCTAACCCACCATGCAGTAACCAACCCACCATGCAGTAACCAACCCACCATGCAGTAACCAACCCACCATTCAGTAGCTAACCCACCATGCAGTAACCAACCCACCATGCAGTAACCAACCCACCATGCAGTAACCAACCCACCATTCAGTAGCTAACCCACCATTCAGTAGCTAACCCACCATGCAGTAACCAACCCACCATGCAGTAACCAACCCACCATGCAGTAACCAACCCACCATGCAGTAACCAACCCACCATGCAGTAGCTAACCCACCATGCAAAAATAAATCACTGAATAGATTGGAGAATTTAATTTACAGACGCTCTATACAAAAGTATTGTTTCCAGATATAGAGATACACCCGACACACAAACACACACACATACACACACACACACACACACACACACACACACACACACACACACACACACACACACACACACACACACACACACAAACACACACACACACACACTGCCAGGCAGGGAAGGGAACAAGAAAGTGCGACAGGAAGGTCAGTTATTAATCAGAAGCATTTATCTTTGTTATCGCTGAATGGCCCACAGGGGTTTAGCTCTTTATGAAATGTGACTGAAATTATAAGACTTTGCAAACCCTGTTGTTCGTGTTTCCTTATATTATTGTTTTTTTCCAACCTGTGATGTGTTTCTGTTGATGAGAAAAGTTTATTGAATAAGAAACGGAGTATAGAAGAATCCACTAGTACAACGATTCATGTAGGTGTTACAACACCTGAAAGCTGGTGTTACAACACCTGAAAGCTGAAGGTGTTACAACACCTGAAAGCTAGAGTAGGTGTTACAACACCTGAAAGCTGGAGTAGGTGTTACAACACCTGAAAGCTGGAGTAGATGTTACAACACCTGAAAGCTGGAGTAGGTGTTACAACATCTGAAAGCTGGAGTAGGTGTTACAACACCTGAAAGCTGGAGTAGGTGTTACAACACCTGAAAGCTGGAGTAGGTGTTACAACACCTGAAAGCTGGAGTAGGTGTTACAACACCTGAAAGCTGGAGTAGGTGTTACAACACCTGAAAGCTGGAGTAGGTGTTACAACACCTGAAAGCTGGAGTAGGTGTTACAACACCTGAAAGCTGGAGTAGGTGTTACAACACCTGAAAGCTGGAGTAGGTGTTACAACACCTGAAAGCTGGA